CGCCAAGGGATTTCTGAATTATATATATTGCACTTAATAACTAAAATCTGATTAATAACCACTGTAAATGTGTCATTTTGATGCCTAACGTACCCTGTCAAAAGATTGCCATGGCTCTTCTACTTTTTCAATTTCTTGTGACCGCTAAAACTAATAGCTCTCTGGCCTTTACATTTTATAAAGGTAGCTCACGAGAGGAAAAAGGTTGAAGACCCCTGCAATATACCTTTTATTGCTCCTGTTAGAGATGCACCAGTCCCATACTGGTATCAGATATCAACACCAATACTGAAAAATGAAAAAAACATTTCACGAACCCCTCACTACGTGGACAAATCACCCCTCATCTTCAGTCGTCTACATATGAGAGGAAACGTTTTAGTCGCGTCTCCAAAGTGACTCCCGGGGAAATCCAGCCGTGTTCTGCGCTGCGCTCACCTGCATCATGAGTCGGCTCCTGTGTCCTCCTCGTTTTTAAAGATAATGTCTATGTTATAGTTTGGGGCATCATCCAGCATGACAGAAACCATGTTCCAGCTTCCAACCATGCTTCAGGCAGAATCAGCTCCTCTGCTGTTTGATACTCCACCTTAAATGACACTAACAGAGCTCGCTGGTTTACTGAAGTAGCATTCACAAAGCGGGATGATTGTTGGCAAAATTCCGCAAAACTCAAGCTGCTTACCAGCGTGATTGGGGTGTAATGTCTTTAAGCGATGCCTTAATTTATTTGTCTTCATGCTGTCCACTTCCAACATTTTAAGACACAGTAAACACAGCGGTCTTTCCTCGATTCCCGCCGTAGTCACAGTGAAGCCAAGTGCTATTTACGCTTCACGTCCAGTTTGTTCTCTGCACTTCATATCTCCTGCTCTGTGCTGTGTGTGCATTTGCTCGGCAAAAAAACCCCCGACACTATAGCGTTAATACTCCCTGCGCACACTCTGACAACAAGAGCGTCACTGCCAACTACTGTAGTGGATGTGCAATTACACTTTATTCTAGTATGGCAAAAAAAAAGCACTACTATTTGAGAAGGACTGATGTAATGTAAGACTATTTATGAGTGTAGTTGGTCCAGAAAGTCTCATAATGAACTTTCATTTACACAAAGTTGTTCTGTAGTTACTTAAGGGATAAATAACTACATAAATAGTACCTAAAACTACAACATAAATAACTACATAACACTTTTGGAAATGCTTCTTTTTGTTTATAAATGCTGTTTTTACTCTCTGCACTGGTATCGATTGGTATCATGTATCCGTAGATTCTTAAAGCAGTAGTATTGAAATCGGTATCAGAACAGAAAAAGTTTTAACGGTGTATCTCTAGTTCCTGTAGAGAATTATCTGCATTTGACCCATCCTTCAATTCCACTGGGACAACCTGTCAGAAGACCAAAACATTATCAGCCTTGGCAGTGCGATAGGCCTATATTCATTACATAATTAATTGTTGCTTGACTGGCAACCGTAAACAGACCGACGAACCCCATAACACGATCGGCTCTTCCATCATTGCCGCCTAATTTGCACCCGCTCCTCCGCCGCTCGGTGCTACTTGTACTTGAGTCACCTTGGGCTGCCGCGGGACGGTAAAACTAAGGGCTGACTCCGTGTAGCGCAGCTCTCCGGGGACGTGACTGTCTGCTTATTACAATTTTAATTTTGACCTAAGTGTAGCATCTCCCCGCGGCTAATCTGTGTAATTATGAAAATACAGGGATGTGCTTTGGAGACGCAGCCCCGAGCCTTCATCAAATTTTAATCAACTATGTCTGCCGCATCACATCTGATAAAAACCCCAAAAAGGTCAAACGCGCTGTTATTGCTCAAAAATGATTGGTTTTCTAAAGACACTGATTGAGTGAAAAGGTCTTATGATAGCTAATAATCTCCGGAGTTGCCCATGTGAAGCGCTTTTATGCCAAGTATTAAACAGCCAATTACGAGCATCTAATCAGGTCTTCAACTTAGGTTAGTCATACAAGGAAATAAGATGTGACTTGAAAAAGGAGAGCGAAAAAGAGAGGAAAAGAGTGAGGGGGAGTTTAGAATTTATCCAGCTGAAACCAAAGGTGGACTGAGTAGCATTTGTGTTGGTGGGGTTTATGTGTTCTTGTCTCCATGGGGATGTTACTGTTTTGCCATGAATGTTCCTCTTCCCTTTAGTCCACCAGACTCTGCCTCTCATTTCCTCTTCCCTTTATTCCTCCAGACTCTGCCCCTCATTTCCTCTTCCCTTTAGTCCACCAGACTCTGCCTCTCATTTCCTCTTCCCTTTATTCCTCCAGACTCTGCCTCTCATTTCCTCTTCCCTTTAGTATTCGAGACCCCACCCCTCACTTCCCTTTCCCCTTTAGTACTGGAGATCCCATCCCCACTGCCCTTTCCCCTTTAGTACTCCAAACCCTGCCCCTCACTCCCCTTTCCCCGTTAGTACTCCAAACCCTGCCCCTCACTCCCCTTTCCCCGTTAGTACTCCAAACCCTGCCCCTCACTCCCCTTTCCCCGTTAGTACTCCACACCCTGCCCCTCACTCCCCTTTCCCCTTTAGTACTCCAGACTCTGCCCCTCACTCCCCTTTCTCCTTTAGTGCTCCAGACCCCGCCCCTCACTCCCCTTTCCCGTTTTGTACTGGAGACCCTGCCCCTCACTCCCCTTTCACCTTTAGTACTCGACACCCCGCCCCTTGCTCCCCTTTCCCCTTTAGTACTCGAGACACCGCCACTCACTTCCCTTTCCCCTTTAGTACTCCAGACCCAGCCCCTCATTCCCCTTTCTGCTTTAGTACTCCAGACACTGCCCCTTACTCCCCTTTAGTATTTGAGACCCCACCCCCTACTCCTCTTTAGTCCTCCAGACCCCACTCCCCTTTCTCCTTTACTACTCCAGACCCCGCCCCTCACTCCCCTTTCCGCTTTAGTACTCGAGATCTCGCGCCTCAGTCCTACTCCCCTTTAGTACTCCAGACCCCGCCCCCACTTCTCTCTCCTCTTTAGTCCTCCAGACCCAGCCCTCCACCCCCATGCTCTCCCCTTTAGTCCACCAAACACTGCCCCTCAAATTCCTTTTAAAAAACTGGACTCTCCCTTTTAGTTCTGCAGACCGAGCCCTCCTCCCCTTACTCTTCTCTTTACTCCAACAGACCCCAACCCTCCTCCCTTCCCCCCTTTAGTACTTCAGACCCTACCCGTCACACCTCCCTTGAATATCCCACAGTACGGCTTTAAGCATATCTGTCAAATCATGGCAGATAGCAGGGCTGCAATAAATTCATTGATTAATCGCAAATAATCGTCAACTAATTACCTCCGCCAAGAAGGTTATGTTTTTGCCGGCGTTTGTCTGTTTGTTTGTTTGTTTGTTTGTTTGTCTGTTTGCAACATAACTCAAAAAGTTATGGACCGATTTTGATGAAATTTTCAGGATTTGTTGGAAATGTGAAAAGGAAGAACTGATTTCATTTTGGGGGTGATCCGGAAGAAATCCTGGATTCTGGATCACTTTGAAATTTTAGTTAACATTGTGGTAAATGGGGCCAAAAATTTTGTTTCTCAATATCTCGGTTAATTATTGACCAAACCCCATGAAATTTGACTCAGGGATGGACAATGGGATCCTCTTTCATATTCCAAAGGCTGATCCGGATCTGATCCAGAAGACTGATTTTATCGCAATTTATATAAAAAATGGGGGTAGTCCTTGGCGGAGGTCTGCGCTCTCTGAGTGCTTTTCTAGTTTGGTAATTGAATGAACATGATGACTCTAAAGAGACTCGAAGCGTGACATGAGCTGAGAGAATAGGATCTGTTTTTCAGACAGAGCTGTACTAACATGAAAACGACATGAGAATTTGGTATGTTTTGTGTTTTTGATGGAACTGTCTGCTTTCAAAGGTAGTTGTCTGGACAATGTTTTGAAATCGATTGCCGTCCAGAAATCATTTTCAGTCTGTCTGTAAATATACTCAATCTGGATGTCCTCAAATGGCTTCAATTCAGTTGCAGATGGCAATAACAATGCCTTTAGAAATGTAGACCTACTGCGGAACATTTTAAGCAATGAAAAAACTTCAGTCGTCCAGCCTCTGCCCCCATAGCCTTTGGTCCTCCAGGTCAACAGCTCTTTTGGACTGTGAAGGGAGTTTCGGTGTGTTTAGTCCTGCTTTAAAGTAAACCGAGACCAAAACGTTATCAACCTTGGCAGTCAAATAGTTGTATGTTCATCCCAAAAAACTTTCCATGGAGAGAAGAAGGGAGTTGACCATCCTTTTCATTCATTAAATAAAAGGGTACATGGCGCGTGGTGCTGGCTAAAGCTCTCAGAATTATTAGGATCTTGCGCAAAACTATGTTCACAAAGACTAGTAAACTTGGTTGACCAGTCAGTTCCTCTTACATCATGTTTGAATGCTGAAGGATCTAGAACCAGACCATGAACATAAAGTGGGTCAAACCGATCCAAGTCACAGCTCAAAATTTCTAAATCACGTGTCACGCAAATGCAAAAAGACATTTCCTCTTGAAATGTCTCATATCATTTAGAACAAAATCTCTAACTTCAGTCCTCAGATACATAAAGGTTTTGTGCTGTTTCTCAATCATCTGTGTAATTAGACGTTTCTTTTTTTACTCAAAAGACGCCATGTTTGGTTTGACACGAACTGACCATGTTTTTCTCATCCCAACTGAAAACGGGGAGACAGGAGATGCTTCTAGACCCACATGTTTTTTCTCAAATCATGTTGTTCAACTAGTAAATAGCATCTTCATAAGTGGAAAGTCACTCCCAAAATGTCAACTGACTCACTCTATGTATTCTCTTATGTGCTGTGGCTCATATAAATCCTAAAAATGTGAATGAAATAAGGAGTTAACTGATAAAAATTGGTGGAGTAAGACACCATTGACCACTGACAATCAACCAATGACTCAAGTGACTACAGCCCCTATACTAGTAACACATTTTTGTCTTTGTTTTGTTGTTTATGTGCAGTGACCCAAACCAGCCGGTGCCCCAGGACACGAAGTTCATCCACACCAAACCCAACCGCTTTGAGGAGGTGGCCTGGACCCGCTACAACCAGAAGGACCAGCTGTACCTGCACATCGGACTCAAGCCCCGCGTCAAGGAGCACTACAGGGCCAACAAGGTACAATCACATATGTCCTCATTCAGAAAATAAATAATAATAATAAATCTTAATTTATAAAGCACTTTTAAAAACAAGGTTTACAAAGTGTTGTACAAGCAGGAATGAACAATACAAAAAGTATAAATAATAAATAGCATACAGGAGAGCATACAAAACCAGACAATGATGTAAACAATCCAATTAATAAATTAAAAGAAATAGAATAAAAAATAAATAAGGAATAAAATCAAGCTAAACCCAGTTAACTCTTTCCCCCTTGGACGCCTACTAGGAACAAACCATACATATATGACTAGGGCTCCCCACAGAGCATAACTGCATAAAAGAAAACAGACTTCCCCAAGTGATTATACTGTAAATAATTTTCACACTCATGAACTTAATTGAAACACAGACATATTTTGTATCTCTGGAAACCTTAGACTCTTAACTCTTCATTTATGGATGTTTAAATGTGATTCAACTCATTTACAGGTTCATAACAGCTCACTGAAAATGAGAGTTTACCTGGTCAGTTGCAAAATCAAAAACAATCGAAGCTACAGTCGTCATTACTTTGATTAACTTCGGAAAAAAATCATCGAAAACGTATCCTTGAATCCTATTGGTCGGCCTAGTACTGGTTGTAGTGGCCCCCACCGATCACAGCCTCTGTTTACATGTGAAAAACTGGAACCGTTTCTAATGGTCGTCAAATCACGTCTTTAGTGACACAGCGGAAGTGTCGAAACACGTCATTAAGGATACAAGGGGGGGTCGTCAAATGTCGTCTTCATGGGGGAAAGAGTTAAAGGAAGGTCAACCGATAAAAATGGGTTTTAAGAAGTGATTTAAAAGATGATACTGATGGTGCGAGCCGTATCTCGTCAAGCCGCAGGGACCTTTCTGAGGATCTACGGATGCGGGAGGGCTCGTTCGGGGTTAAAAGTTCTGAAATGTAGACCTAAACGAGCTTTAAAAGTGATCAGTAAAATCTTAAAATCGATTCTAAAACACCCATGCAGCCAGTGAAGGGAAGTAAAACAGAGGGAATGTGTAGTCTAGACGGGAGAAGATGAGCGTTTGGACGATTTTCTCAAGATCAGGGCGGGAGAGGACAGTTTTGATTTTGTTAATTGTGCAGAGGTGGAGAAAACAGGATTGGGTGACTTTTGGAAGTTAAGATGAGAGTCAAAAATGACACAGAAAAGACCGTTTTTTAGTTATAAGTAACGCAAATTTGACAGGAGTTTTTAACTAATTGTTATTCCTTCTCATTTACCTTCTCAAAGTTGTATAGACTTTTTCATGCATATTTATGGTATACACGAATTTTAAACTCAATTTCGATAATAAGGAATAAGCTTGATACTTAAGACCGATTCTGATGCCACAATGTTATAAAAGACACTCTTTCTTTAGACAGTAGAAAGCCATTTTCAACATTTAATAATAGTAGATCTATATCTGTGTAATCCTTTAGTCGTGCAGGTATATGTGCAAATACCGCTTAAGATCATTCTAAAAATATTTAGGAAAGGTTAGTTTCTGTATGTCGATGTGGCTTTTTCAGAATAAATACTTGCTAAGTATAAATATCTAGTTTCATTACTAGTTTTAGTATCGATTAGTATCTGATTTTCAATAGTTTTGACAACCCTACTTCTGTATTCTTGGAATTTTTAATCAATATTGCAATTTAAAATGTCCAAAATATAATACAATGATCCACGGGTGTCATAGATTAGATCACAGATAGCACAAAATATCACAAAATTAAATACTATTTCCTGTCGTACACTGAAGACACAGGTTTATCAGAAGCTGGTTTCAGTCGTAGGATCTGGCAACCCGATCTGAGGAGTTCATTCTGCATTTTGATCGGACAATTTCTTCAGAACTACAGCAGAACATGTAAACATAAACCATTTTCACATCACGCGTCTATAACAAAATTAAAGACAATAAATAAATGCACATTGTCATAAAATATTAAACACTTTTTGAGATTGTTTGCACTCACTAAATATTTGTAAGAGTGAAAGCTTTTATCTCCATGTTGTCTCAAGTGTGGCCCTCTCCCTTCTCTTCCTTTTTTTTTTTTTTTTTGGTGAAAAAGGTCACTGGTCCATGGAGCCACTGTAGAAGAGTGAAAATGTATTCTGGGTTTCCTCACAGATGCTCTCACCGTGACAGAGGATGTCCTTATTGGACCTTAGATGAAATTCAGATGACTCCATTTAACCTTTTGTCTCCTGCTCTCCTGTCTGTCCCTGTTTGTCCCTCCTCCTCCTCTCTCTCTCTTCTCTCTCCTCTTCTCTTGCTCACTCCATCCCCTGATTCTGTACCTTCTGTGTTTTACTTTCATTCTTCTGTACATCTCTGCTCTCCTCTCTCCTCCCCCCTACCTCCATCTGTTTGTCTTCTACTCTACTTCTCTCTTTCCTATCTCACCGTTTCTCTTTCCCTCTTTCCCTCCCCTGTCTTTCGTGCTCTCTCTATTTCTCCCTTCCCTCTGTCTCTCCCTCTATCTCCATCTCTTCATCGCTCTTACTCGTGCTTTGTCAACCTCTTTGCTTCTCTTTCCTCTTCTCTCCCTTTGCATTCTTTCTCTGCTCCACCCACTCTCTGCTCTCTTCTTCTTCTTTCTCCCTTCTTCACTCTCTTTCTGCACTCTTTTCTGTTCCTCCTATCTTCTCCATCACCCATTTCTCTCCTCTCTCCATCATGCCTTCTTGTCTCCCTTTTTTCTGTCTGTCTCCATCTTTGCTGTCTTCCTTTCTTCTCCCTCACACTTCACCCCTCCCCTCTAATCTCTCTCCTCTCCCTTCTCTCTTCTCATTCTCTCCCTCTCTTTTTGCCCCCACTCCCTTCAACATTCTTTCTATCTCTCTTTCTCCCTCCTCTCTTCTTCTTCCTCTCTATCTCTCTCTCCCTCCATTATATCTCTCTCTCCTTTCTCTCTTCTCCCTCTTTCTCCTCTCTTTACGCCCCCCTCCTTTCTCTCCTTCCTCTCTTCTCCTTCTCTCCCTCTCTCTTTTTGCCTCCACTCTCTGCTCCCACTCTCTTCAACATTCTTTCTGTGTCTCTTTCTCCCTCTCTCCTCTTACTCCTCCCTTCTCTCTCTCTCTAACCTCCTCTCTTCTTCTTCCCCTCTATCTCTCTCTCTCTCCCCTCTAATCTCTTTCTCCCTATCTCCTCTTACTCCTCCCTTCTCTCTCTCTCTCCCTCCTCTCTTCTTCTTCCTTTCTATCTCTGTCTCTCCCCCCTCTCTTTTTCTTTCTCTTTATCCCTCCTCTCTTCTTCTTCCTCTCTCTCTCTCCCTCCCCTCTAATCTCTCCCTCCTCTCTTTTTCTTCTCTCCCTCTCTCTATTTGCCCACACTTTCTGCCCCCACTCTCTTCAACATTCTTTCTATGTCTCTTTCTCCCTCTCTCCTCTTAATCCTCCCCTCTCTCTCTCTCTCTCCCTCCCTCCTCTCTTCCTCTTTCTCTCTTTCTCCCTCCCCTCTATCTCTTTCTCCCTCTCCTCTAATCTCTCTCCCTCCTCTCTTCGTCTTCTCTCTCTCCCTTTCTGTCTCTTTCTCCCTTCTCTCCTCTTACTCCTCCCTTCTCTCTCTCTCTCCTCTCTTCTTCTTCCTCTCTATCTCTCTCCCTCCCCTCTAATCTCTTTCTCCCTCTCTCCTCTTACTCCTCCCTTCTCTTTCTCTCCTCTCTTCTTCTTCCTCTCTATCTCTCTCTCCCTCCCTCCCCTCTATCTCTGTCTCCCTCCTCTCTTCTTCTTCCCCTCTAATCTCGCTCTCTCCCATCTTTTCTTCTTCTTCTTTGCCCCAACTCTCTTCAACATTCTTTCTATGTCTCTTTCTCCCTCTCTCCTCTTACCCCTCCCCTCTCTCTCCCTCCTCTCTTCACTCTCTCCCTCTCTTCTCCTCTCTCTCTCCTCTCTCTCTCTCTCTCTCCTCAGGTGAACCTGTGGCTGGAGCTGGTCCCACATCTGCACAGTCTGAACGAGGTCACGCAGCTCATCCCCACCACCACCAAGGTCCGCCGCAAATCAAATATTCTGCATTCACCGGAGCTCGGCCGCTCAGCTCCCAAATGCCACTGCCTCTTCTTATTTACTCTTATTACACTGATATGGATGTAGAGCACTTAAGAGTCAGAGCTACGACTCCGAATATACACTCACACTTTATAATAACTACACTAATCCAACCCTTAATAAAGCACGGACAAGATTTAAGTCATAACGAACAAACCGTTTATTGAATGATTCAGGTTTAGTAACGACTTAATTAATACCCAAACTTTAAATTGGTGACACTTTAATTCAGGGACAACGTATTAATCTCTAATTAAGTTGTTACTGATTGCTTATTAGTTGTTATTTAGCTATAGGTGGTATTTATCAAACACTTTTTTCATGTTTATTAAGATTTTAGTGTATCTACAAAAGCATTAATAGGAAGAAAATAGAAATTATAGTTAAAAAGTTAATAGTTAAAGTTACAAATAGTTATTGGCTTAATACTTGCAGCCTTAGACAAAAATGCATTGAAAGTACTTTATAAATTACTAACAATTATGTAGTTAAGCACTTTTTATACTAGATTATTATTATTAGTAGTAGTAGTAGTAGCAGTATAAGTATTAGTATTATTGTTGTTTTTATTATTTTTTTCTTTTCAATAATAAAGTATAAAAAGACATCAACAGTGTCACAACATCAAACATACAAGAAATGAATGAAAAGGAGCAGAAAGAAGAGTCATCTTACGTTATCTGCCCTCATTCCCTTTTCCCTTTTCACTCATAGTTACTTTAGAGCAGACATGTCAAACTCAGGCACGGGGGCCAAATTTGGCCCGACGATATAGTTATATTTGGCCCGTGAGATCATATCAAATATGCATTAGAGCTGGACCGCCGACTACAGATAGGCTATAGAGACATTATTTATTTAAAATTTTGTTATTATTTTATATTCTGCTTGTTCTGGATTCAATGTTTAAGCAAAACTATTATTTCTATTATTAACACATTTATTTTAATGAGAAAAGGTTTAACATTACATATCTCGAAAGAAGAGAAAACATGCAGATGTTGACATTTTTCAATAAATATTTAGTTTGGCCCAGAACTTAGTTTTAGTTTTTAATGTTGGCCCTCTGTGAATTTGAGTTTGACACCCCTGCTTTACAACATTTCAAATCAATACCCTATCATAATCAATATCAATAACTAATATATTATGAGTTAGCTATGATGTTATTTACCTACTCAAAGTTGTACATAGACTTATTCTTTTGTATGGTATACTAGAATTTCAAACTCGATTTTAATAAGGAATAGATTTGATACTTAAGACTGATTTTGATGCCACGATGATATAAAAAAACACTCTTTCTTTAGACAATAGAATGTCATTTTCAACATTAAATCATAGTAGGTCTATATCTGTGTAATCCCTTACTCGTCCAGGTATATGTGGTCTTATACTAATGCTAATACAGCTCAAGATCATTCTAAATATCTTCAAGAAAGGTTCATTTTAGTATGTCGATGTAGCTTTTTCAGTATCAATACTTGTTGAGTATAAATATCTAGTTTTAATACAAGTTTTAGTATCGATTAGTATCTGAAAAAAACGTTAATGGGAAGAAAATACATATTGGCTTAATACTTGCAGCCTTAGACAAAAATGCATTGAAAGTACTTTATAATTACTAACAATTACGTAGTTAAGCATTTATTATTAGTTATTAGTTTGTGGTCCTTAAACTAAAGTGTTACCACTACATTCTACCACCATGATGAAGTGTTACTAAGCCTAGATCATTCTTAATACATCATGATTAAAAATACAACTATTTCTGTATTACTCATTATGAATTAAGTCATCAAAATTGGGACTAAACCTGTAAATAAACCTGGTCTTGCACTCGACTAAACAAGGAGTGACCAGGACTAAACTAAACTGGGTTCCAACTAGGACCAAAATCACAACAAATATGTTTACTGCCATTTTGAAACATGTCAGGGTTATCAGTAGAATATTAAATAAAAAAAAAATATAAATAAAAATACAACTTTTAGGAAAAACTTATGAAATCAAATCAAATCTGTTCCCGAACACATTTTTTAATCATATGTTACGATGGATGTCTTAACACTTGCCCACACTTCAAAAAACTTGGGAACAAAGTGGAATTAAACTTGGAACAAAACCAACTTTAAATCAAGACTTAACTGTTCTGGGCAAATCAGGACCAAACCAGGACAAATGTGAACACAGCCATATTGAAATGCCATTTAATACAGACCTGCAAAGTACATAGTAATTATATGCAATTAAAATAAATAAATACATATAAAAACATTCTGAAATTGGATGTATTTTTCAGAATTCCTTTTAGAAGCAGTTGTGAACATAAGTTTGACTAAACCAAGAACTTAATCAGGGTTAGAATCAGGTTCAATTGAGGTAAAATGAGCACAAAAATATGTTCAGATTTTGCAACAACAACAAAGAAAATCAGCAGTATTTTAAAATGTTCTAACTCTAACTTCTCTCTCCAGGTCCCTCCGCCCGAGACCACCAACCGCAGCCCCAAGCCCAAACTCCAGGCCCCCAAGCGCGCCAACCCGACCCCCTTCCCCACGGAGACCCAGGGCAGCCACAACCAGCCCCACCTGGTCGACCAGCGCGACTACTCCACCGAGCTGTCCGTCACCATCGCGGTGGGCGCCTCCCTCCTCTTCCTCAACATCCTCGCCTTCGCCGCGCTCTACTACAAGAAGGACAAGAGGCGGCACGACGTCCACCGGCGCTGCAGCCCTCAGAGGAACGCCGCCAACGACCTCGCCCACACCCAGGAGGAGGAGATCATGTCCCTGCAGATGAAGCAACACTCGGAGCTGGAGAGGGACTGCCGCGGGGACTCCCTGCACCCTCACGACGTGGTGCTGAGGACTGCCTGCCCGCCGGACTACACCCTGGCCATGAGGAGGTCCCCGGATGACATACCGCTAATGACGCCCAACACCATCACCATGATCCCGAGCAGCATGGGCGGGCTGACGTCGCTGCACTCCTACAACACCTACCCGAGCAGCGGGCAGAACAACACGTTGCCCCACGCGCACCCGCACTCACACTCCACCACCCGGGTATAGCCCTTCCGCCGCCGGGACCCTAACCAGGAAGCTAACAGGGCTAACCAATCTAACGAGGCTATCGCTGCGGAGACAATGGGCCTGTGCCGACACGGATACGCTCGCAGCCTGGAGTTATACCATTCTGGATTATACCGCTCATTATATGTTCATACGGAGGAATATACAAAGGGGATTTATCGGGGCTTAAAACGGACGACGAATATTTCTTTTTGTAAAAAACGAGAAAGTCTAAAAAGAAGCTAAAGAATTTAAAACATCCTCACAAGCTTAAAACAAATGAAGCTTTTTTAATATATTTTTGTTCCAGAGCAAAAAAACAAAAAATGAAACTACACTCTCGACTTTCTTTCTAGTGACAGATACGGCCTATGGGATCTTTTGACGAACCACTGCTTGACAGAATTATCTCGGAGTTTTCAGACACGCCTGGGAGGTGACAATAGGGAATACATTGTAAACCGAAAAGCAGACATATTGTTTTTTCTCGTGGCAGATGACGTGCTGCATAAACTCATTTAGGCATGTGTTAACTTTATGTAAGATAACGCCGGACATTGGGGACGCGAGGACAAAGCGACGCAAACCTCAAAGACACCCCAAGAACCCTGTATGCACAAATCCGAGGAGATACTTTTCATTCGTTTATTTTTGAGACGTTTTATTGTATAGAACCTATTTACATATCTAGATCTGTACATTAAGCACCAAGGTTGTTTTCGGCCTTCTATCGAAACGCGAGAGGGGTGACTACTGCAAACATGCCAGCGCTAACTAAACCAGTAAACCAGTAAACGGAGCGTAGAACCTTCCATTTTTGGTTCGACTTCGATGACAGAAAGAGCTGGGGGACAGACAGACGGAAGGAAAATCGGATATTTTAAGCACGATGCGCATGACAATTTATCTGCTTGATGGCTGCTCTGCTGATTAAGTCATTAAATAAGAGTAATTTTTTCAAAACCCTCCCTTCGCATTTGGAGCAACTACACACAGATTTCCCCGATTGGATTTTTACAACCGGAAAAACCCCGTAAAAAAAAGGATCATGGGAAATGCAGTTCCGAGGAGGTGGAGTCGAAGCAGGGGGCTTGATTAAAGGGGTGGGCTCGTGGGAGAGACTGTCTGGCATAAAAATATTATTAGCTTGAGGTGCAGGGGGCATATAAGGACTAGTTTTGTACTATGTGTGTTGGTACTACTTTTTGATAGTGGGTTATTCACGTTTCAATCAAAAGCCGTTGTTTCTTTCCGTTGGCATCTATGTTCTTTGCTACCTGTCGCGCCACCTAGAGGAGGCACTGTTTAACCCATTTTCCATGTTTTGTTTCTCGAGTGGCAGGTGCGCTGACTGAATACACAGGGTGCCCTCTTTTCATTTTAGAAATCTATAAGGGTGAACGGGAAAGAATATACGGCAGATCGGTGAAGATGTAAAAGGTGCTTAAATGCTTCGCAGTGTCATGATAGGAAATGTTTGCCAGGCCAAAGTTGAGTTTTTGTGTTATAAATGTGACGAGTGTGATACGAAAGCCACAATATTCAATTAAAACTGAGAATTCATACGCATGCAAGCTTTTATTTTGAAGTATGTTTAGGTCAGACCACAAAAAACTCAGCTGCCATTGACTTTTAGAAACCTACAGAGTCAGAATTTGAATTTTGTGTATCCCAAAAAAGAAGAAAATAAAAACTTGTCCTGAAAATAGAATCAAATGAAAGAAAAATATTCTAAAAAGTATAAAGTACTTTGGATTACATGCAATTTGGAAAAGATTTTGCTCATGAAAGAGGCCTGTCTTCTAACTCGAAACAAAAGTATATAGTTTCTAAAAGACTTGAAATCACAACTACAAAAATGTTTTTCAAATCCACACACAGACACACAATAAAGTTTTTGAATTTCATCGCAAGTGGACCGATTGTGACGTCAACCAGTGCTTTCTGTGTAAACTAAATGAAGCCAATCGAGGCTAACAGTGAGAGCGACTAATCTGCAACCATTTGGAAATCCAAGTGCGCAAACAAAGAGTCAACCAGCAGCGAGGTCGTTGAACGCACTTCTGCCCCAACGCTAGATTGACCCGGGGAGTGGGCACTTAGCAGCACGGCACAATAGCTGTCAATCAAACCTGTGGGGGCGACCTCCAGAAGACACATGGGTGAAGTTGGCCACCCATCAAACACACACCAAAAACACAAAAACTATGACAATTGTGCTTCATTTGTACTACTTTAGTTTTTGAGATATTATCGATTCTTTTACAGGTCAAAGGAAGCTTAAAAGTTCTCTAAAACGGCCCAACATGGTGCCAATCCTTTGTCCTTCGTTTGTGCTGTTTCGTGCTACAAATGTTTAGTTTGTGCTATTGAGGTTCTGAAGATATTAGCAGTTTTATTTTCAGCTGATGACGTCATCCAGCCACTCAAAATGTTAAATGGCCTCAAAACAGGCAGAAAATTATATGAAGTGTTTGTATTTCGTTTGTGCTGTGACCATTTTCATTTGTGCAAGTATATTTCTAAAATTAGATTATTATTTTTGCGGAAATTATATGACGTCATTCCACTCGGCTGATGGCAGCCTGAGATCGTTTATCAGGCGTGTATTTGACAGGAGGCCAACTTCACGGAGGTCTAGAAGACGCCTGATTTTTCTCTTATTAATGTTCGTACTGTATCTTGATTTGCAAAAAAGCGAAATAAAAACAATCATGTAGAGCAGGTTAAAGAAGATAATTGCAACCAGACCTTGAGAGAACCACTTACCGAAGGTGTACACTTTCTATTTGGACCACGGTGATGAGCAGGTTAGCTAAGTCCGTACATATATACAGAGTTCCCATGGTCATGGAAATCCTGGAAAAGTCGTGGAAATTGAAAATGTCATTTCACAGGCCTGGAAAAGTCATAAATTCAGTGAGAGTTTTGGAAAGGTCATGGGATTTTAGCAATTTTAGTAACTACAGCGTTCTGTTAAGTTCTCATTAGGCTATTATGATTATTTCCGAACGTATGCTCGTTTTGTTTAAAAGAGACGACAATAAATGCACTGACAGTATGACAGAATGTTAAAAAACTATAACACCAAACCATAAGGTGAGTGGAAAGGGTTAACATTTCATTTTTAGCCCTAAAAGTATGATCAATTCTACACAGGTAGGTGCTGTAAAGTCATGGAAAATTCACTTTAGGTCATGAAAAAAACATGGAAAAGTTTTGAAATTTTGTCAGTGAAAAAGAGTGGGAACCTTGTATATACAGTATTTTATATATTTTATATCTCTATGGTCTAGTTAGAGATCAAGCCATTAAAATACTTATCAGTTACTTACAGATACAATAATACTAATAATAATAACCCTAAAATGAAAATCTTTGTTTCAGTATTTGCTTAAGTATTGCGTTAACCTTCAAACCAACTGAACACAGACTTTTTATATCGCGTACAGTATTTTCCCCTAGACAACCCCTGTCCCTTTTTACACTACATTCACTTTAACAGTATATAAGCCATCTCCACCATCTTTAGGTCAACACAGCCGGCGCAAATAACAACATAAGCTGCCACAGTTCAAATGCGTAACAGTGCCAAACAGACAGCAGTTTACGCGCATCCCGCCGCACTACGGGGGCCAAAGTGGTGATCTTTACAGAACAGACACTCAAATACCCAGCCTGGCAAACCCTATTCTAGTCAAATCCCCCAGATGTAAGCTATAGCTACATTTGCTAAGCTGCGGCGCCTGTCTGCAGACTTTATTTCTCCTCTTTTTTTCTTTTTAAAGGGAGGATTGTCTGCTCTGAGGATACAGCTATAGGCTCCCAGCGCGGTGCAGTCATTCGATATAAAGAGAAGAGACTGTAACCCCGTATAACACCGAGGGATGCTATGGGGAAGGGGGAGGAAGCCAGAATGCTGGGGGTTGCTATGGTAATTGGAGATTTTAAAGGTGTACTATGTGATTTTTCTGGTGGAGGGTCTGCATGGGGATGTTACCGCTTTGCCTGGTATGTTTCACAGCATTTAGGGTTGTCGAAAGGATGGAAATTCAGATACTAATCGATACTAAAACTAGAATCGAAACGAGACACTCATTTTCACATCAAGGCACATTAACAAGACAGAAACAAACCTTTTCTTTCTTCTTAGAGTTTTAGGCTACGTTTATATCATGATGGTCTGAACAGAAGACACAAAACTGGCATTGCATCTTTTTATTCCACGTTTAGACGAGTGTCTTCAGGAGGAAATCTGCGGGCATACAGTGACGCAGAAGTGTGTGGAATTCGATTGGGTATGCATGCCAGGCGGCTAGGTGGTGATGCTAGATGGTGATGTATGTGACGTAAACACGTACGTGACGTGAGCAGATCAGAGTTTTGCGTCTTGGGCAGTGTAGACGGAAACGCTACGGTGGAGCATATTCATCTTTTCCACTCTGGAGGGTGGTTTCAGATTTTTGCATTTTTAAGCCCCAAAAACGCCGTCACCGTCTAAACGAAAGGCAGTTCTGATAAAATATTTTGTAGTTTTTACCCGCAAGTGTTCTCATGTAAACATTCCTTTAGAATGATCTAGAGCTGTAGCAGAACAAGTATGAGACCACAGACTAGTGTACACCCTTGGACCACTATGAAATGTACCTGAAAGGTACATTTGAGTCTGATATTGAGTCTGATTTGAGGTGATATTAAGTCTCGAGTCTATTTCGTAGTATCAAAATCGAGTTTGAAATTTTAGTATCATGCCAAAAAACGAAAGCGATCCACATTACAGTTCCCCGAAGCTGCCAAATTTTTATTTCAATGACACCACAATGGCCTGAAAACATGCTTGAAACATCACAAACATCATTGTGGTGTCACTGAAATAAAAATTTGAGAGTTTCGGGGAACTACAGTGTGAATCTCTTTCTTTTTTGCACTATTTCTGTCTTTGGACCCACAATTTTTCTTTTTTTTTTCTATCTATTAGCAAATTTTAGTATCGTGACAAC